CCGTGTCTGTATGCAAATGACCCCTTGTATGCTTTTCATGTTGCTTGCACAAGTCGCATCAGCTCAAACGTATCTTAGAATTTAAAAAAAAAGAAAGAAAGAAAAAAGAGGGAAATCCAAATGGTTTGTGATTGTCCTGCCCATCCGGAAGGCGTAACTCTGGAAGCAAGCCGGTCAGCGGCAGTGTGGACGGACCCTCTGCACGGCCACGAGTCGCCTGCAGAAGCTTCGAGAAGAGACACCCTTCCCTTCCCACAGAAAGCCCGAGGCTCTGTTCGTGGCCTCTCGAGGGGTCCCTGTGACGAGGACACGTCAGAGTGGGGTGCCACTGTACTCCCCAGACACAGTCATCTCTGTCCCAGCTGTGGAAAGCAGATGCTGGGCCCACCCCGGCCCCTGCCCAGTCTAACCAGTTGTCTAGAGACAGGCGTCGTGAAAAGCCCCGAGGAGCTCGAGACCCAAAGAGGGGCTGTGTGGGCATTTCAGATAACTCGTTTATTCGCAGCAGGACCCAGATAAGGCCTCCCTTGGGTCTTGCGGCATCTTTTAATTTTTGAAAACTTACTGTTTACAACTTCCAGTGAAGCTCAGCCTGCCGCCGTGTTTGTCCACAGCTTTGAGGTCCCTGTTACCCCCTCAACCGGGCTCAGGACACTGGACAGTCCACCCAGAAGCACCCCTGCAGCAGGGGTGGGGCAGGGACCTTGTTGGTTTTCCTTTCCATCTTTTCATGGGCTGCTTTACTGTCTGTATGTCTTTTTTGCTGAAGCGTCTGCAAATCTTTTGCCTGTTTTTTAATTGGATTCTTTATTTTCCTACTGAGTTTTGAGGGTTCTTTATATATTGTGGATTAAACCCTTGGTCAGATATGCAATGTGCAAGTATTTTCTGCCAGTCCTAGCCCCTTACCATTCTTCACGAAATTTTGGTGAAGTCTAGCACAGTGCACTTCCTGTGTCTGTCCTGTACCTCCCTGCCTCTGCCCTGCGAGCAGCGTGCAAGTCCCTGCGGATCTGGACAGCCCTCGCCTTCCTCGGTTCTCCTCTTCAGAGTCCTTTTTTTTTTTTTTTTTAAATGTTTGTTTATTTTTGAGAAAGAGAGAGAGAGAGAGAGAGGGAGGGAGAGGGAGACACAGAATCCGAAGCAGGCTCCAGGTTCTGAGCTGCCAGCACAGAGCCGGACCCAGGGCTCGAAGTCAAGAACCTCAAGATCATGACTCGAGCCGAAGTTGGATACCCAACCGACGGAGCCTCCCAGGAGCCCCTAGAGTCCTTTTGATTCCCCTAGTTCCTTTGCCATTCTGCGTGAACTTAAAAGCCAGTTTACTGGTAGCTACCAAAGAGTGGTGCTGGGATTTCACGGGTGCTGAGCCTGCAGGTCTAGTCTGGGGAACACTGATGCCCCATGCAGTGGCTCAGGTCCACTTGCTGAACCCTTGGCTGGCCCCTTTCATTAGCTGGCACGTCCCACACTGGTCTTGTTACGTTCGGGTGTTTCCTTTTTGTTTTTGGAGTTCCTACAAATGGCAGTTTTAGGAAACTGACTTTCAGTTGTTCATTGCCAATATGTAGAAATGGGACTATTTATCTGTTGAACTTGTATCATATGATCTTGCTAGTGAGCTCATTAGTTTGGGGGCTTCCACATTTTCCCACATTCCTTGGGCTATTCTGCATAAACTATTGTGTTATGCAAACAAGAGCTGTGTTTTTCCTTTTCTCGCCTTGTTGCATAGGCAGGCCTTCAGCTCTGTGCTGTGCTGCAGGGGACAGCCTACCCCCGGTGAGGGGGAGGCCTGCCTCTCCGTCTCAGGTGCTGGCCCGTCCTGCCGCCAGCACGACATTGGCCACTCAGCATGTTCCCGTCTGCCCCTGGTTCGCCAAGAGTTTTGATCACAAATGGGGTTGAATTTTGTCAATTTTTAAAATTCAGTTGAGGAGATTTTATGGGTTTTCTTATTTAGCCTGTTGACGGGGTTAATTACACTGATTGGTTATAAATGTTGCCAAGCCTTGCCCTCCTGGAACAGACCCAGGTAGTCGTGACACGTTATACTCATTTCTTTCCATACGTGATGAGTTCAGTGTCTGATATTTTGTTGAAGAGCTGTACGTCTGTGTTCATAAAGGAATAATGGTTTATAGGTTTCTTTTTTTGTATGTTTTTGTCTGGTGTTGGTATCAGGGTAATTGCTGACCTCATACAATGAGTGGAGAAGTATTCCTTCCTCTTCTCTTTTCTGGAAGATACTACACGCAATTGGTGTTGTTTCATCTTTTGGTGTCTGGTTAAATCCACCTGGAGTTTTCTTTTTCAGGAGGTGTTTTGCTCTTCAGTTTCTCTAATGGATTAGGCCGTTGGGATGATCTGTTCGTGGTCCGCGGCAGTTTGTAGGTTCGGGGTCGCGTCGCACACTGTTACGTATCGTTACGTCGTGTGCAAGCCCCCAGACTTCCCGCTGTCTACCGGGGTCCTTGTCCCTGACACCCTGTGACCTTCTTTCATTTCTGGTATTGGTGGTTCTGTCCTCTTTTTTGTCAGGCTAGGGGTTTTATCAGTTCCGTTGCCCTTCCCAAAGAACCAGCTTTTCGTTTTGTTTTATCCTTTACTCTATATTTTATTTCCGTATTGTTTTTCTATCTTCCATTTCTTGTTACTGCTTTTGTCTCCTTACTTCCTTGCCTGCTCGCTCTGGGTTCCGTTGGCTCCTTTCCCAAGATCTTGAGGTGGAGCCCAGCCTGGGCACTTGAGGCCTTTCTCCCTGCCCAGTGTGAGCGAGCACAGGAGTGGCTGTAGCTGCCTCCCAGGGGTCTCCGCTCCCATCTCACTCACGACCCCCACAAGGTACTTCTGGTCTCCTCTGAGCTTTCCTCCTGGGTCCGAGTGCTGCCTGCTGTCCCCAGTGGTTGGCGTTTCCAGCCACCTGTCTACTGTTGATTTCTTTTTGTCTGTTTGGGTTTTTGTTTTGGTTTTAAGTAGACTCCACGGCCAACGTGGGGCTCGAACTCACCACCTTGAGATCAAGAGTCTCGTGCTCCACCGACCAAGGAGGCCAGGTGCCCCTTTACTATTGATTTCTAGCTGAGCCTGTTGGTCAGAGAACACACTTTACGTGACTTCTGTTCTTTAAAGATGAAGCAATGCCAGTTGTACGCGACGTCTTGGCAGTCTGTTTCCTGCAGACTCAGAGCTGCCGGCTGGGCAGAGCAGGCTGGGCTTCCCCAGGGCGCACGCGCGTCCGGGGCCGTCAGGGACACATCGCAGCCTGGAGCCCTCCTGCTGCCGAGTCACCTGCCTCGCTGCCGTGGGAGGCCCTCACGTCTGTCTCCTGGCCCCTGTGGGCTCAGTGGAGTGCAGTGCCGTCACCATCATCCGCCACTTGGCCCTGAGTGCCGCGTTGTGACAGGCTGGCGTTCGGCCCGGGATGGGAATGGGTGGCGTCTGCCGGTCTTAGCTTATCAGAGACGTGACTGCCGTTGAGAGGAGAGTTTACTGTCCTTCACCAGCCCCTGGAAACAGGAGGCAGCAGGTCCTGGGGGCTGGCCCTGGGTGCTTAGGGCAGAGGGACATTAGGTTGGTGTTGAGGGTTGGTTAAGAGTATGGGCTGTGGATTCAGGGGAGATGGAAGCGGTTCTGGCCAGGAGTTGGCCCCGTAATTAAAGGATGTCAGCTAGATAAATACAGAATCTAATGAAACACACAACAGCAGGGTCCTTCTTCATTTCATGCCCACAATGGCAGTGGGGTCTCAGCTCCATGCCCAGGACCATGGTGGCTATCTCTGACCCGTGGGTGGTTGGCAAGTGCTCAGGGAGCCCACGGAACTTTCCAAGGCCACACCGTTGACCACACGCAGGCCTATATCCAGACCTGAACCCACCTGCCTCGCACGGTCGCTGCCTGCTGTCCAGATGTAGAAATGTGAGCAGGAAGAGTCTCCGAAGTCAGCAGATGGCCGCACCGTCATCCTGGCCACGGCTGCACCTGTCCTGCCTCTTGGGGTTAGACGCACGCTTCGGGGACTGAGTGACGACTCAGCTGGGCACGGACAGAGTGCCTTTCCCAAATAGGGCCCATGGGGTTCCGGCACAGGTGTCTGGGACTCGGCCCGGCTCCCTGAGCTGTGTGGCCGGCTGCGGCAGCCCTGGCTGGTGGCGCTCCTGGGTGTGGTGCTGTCGTGTCAGCAGCCCACTGGCCTCCGGGCAGGAAACCGGTCAGGGGCTTCAGGGAGCTGTGGAGAGAGGTCCCTCTGAGTTCCGTGATGCCCACCCCACCCCCGCCCCCGCCCCTCCCCGCAGCCCCGCTCCCCTGCCTGGACCCCCTGGTCGGGTTGTTCTGGGCAGGCCCCAATGCCTCCCGGGGAGGAAAGGCTGCGTGGACGGGGTCCTGTAATGTCAGGTGGGCGAGGCACACGCCGCAGCAACAGCAGAAGAAAGGGACCCCACTGACGGCGGGGCACAGTGCGGGCGTGCCCCCAGGCCACTCGGGCCCCGCCCTCGCGCCCCCCCCCCCCTTCCCAGTCCCCTGCTCTGGGGGTGGGAGGGTGAGTGGGGAAAGGGAGGGTTCCGGAAGCTCAGGGAAGCTCAGGGCGGAGGCCGGCAGGAGGCCTGGGGCGAGGGCGGGGTCGAGACGAGGGGGCGGGGCCGGGTGGGCGGGGCCTGCGGAGGCTGGAAGCTGGGACTGCAGGTGGGCGGCCGATACCTGGGGCGGGGGGACTTCCCTGGTCTGCGCGCCCTTCCCGGGCTGCCCTGCCCCCAGACGTGCATCGAGCGCCCCCACAAGCAGGAGACCCGCCCCCTGCGACCCTCCGGAGCAAGGGGATGCCCAGTGGCACCCACCACCTGCAGGGAGCCTTGAGGGTGGCCCTGGGCCTAGCTGAGTTCCCTGGGGAGATGCGAGGGCCACATCTGGGGCTGGAGCTGCCCAGGGCAGGCCTTCCTAGGGCTCCAGGGGCTGTGGGAGGGCGCTGGCCCTGCTGAGCAGCCCTTTGGCCCCTGCAGGTTGTGCAGCCTGACCTTGAAGAAGCTGGTGGTGTTCACGGAGCTGGAGAAGGAGCTGGTCTCGGTGGTGATTGCCGTCAAGATGCAGGTGAGGGCAGTCCACCCAGGGTGCCTGTGCCGTCCAGGAGATGGGGGCACGGCCACACTGCCAGCTCTCTGCCCCAGGTGCTTGACCTGGAGGAGGGTCCTAGCGCTCTGGCACGGTTGGACCCCACACAACCAGGGTGCAGTCCTGTCCGCCTGAAGGGCTGGCGGCTGGGGAGTGTGGAGGGACGCGAGCGTGTGTGTGCAGGTCACTTGCACAAGGGCCTTCCCAGAACAGAATTGTGCCACACACACCCTCACATGTGCGCCCAGTGCCCGCTGGCCCTTCTCTGCCAACCTCTGACCCGGGGCTGGTCTAGCTGTGCCCGCCTCTCGTCCTCAGGCCCCTCTCTGTCCCTCTGATCCTCACAGGATCTTGCCTTGAAACAAATCGCTCTTCCAGGAGGACCTGACCTGGGCCCCCACCCTGGGGGGCAGCGACCCTCAGCACTGCCTTCACCCAGCCGCCAGCCGCCCTGAAGGAGGTGCCATGTGTGCTTCCTTGACCCCTTCAGGGACACCAGTTCCTCGTCCACTCCCGAGTCAGGAGGGCTCTCAGCCCCCTGCTGCTCATATGGTGCCTCCCGTGGCCCTTTGCGGACGTGTCCCCCCTACGGATGGGGTCCACCCTGTAGGCACCTCCCTCCCCCAGTGGCCGTGCTCACAGGCAGCTGCGTGTGCTGGCTCCTCCTTCGAGTGGCCCCCTCAGCTGTGCCTGTCCTGTTAGGGCCCCAGACCGTCAGACGCCCCACGGGACGGAGTGCCTGCTGCACCCCCGTCCCAGGCTGCTAGAGCCCACATTCACAGACCCCGTGAGCTCAGGCGACAGGGGTGCTGGTCCGCGTGCTCCATAGCTCCGTGTGGGCTGGGAGCAGCCAATGCCATGTGGTCCACAGGCCGTCCACCCGGACCCACAGCTGTGCCCAGGACCCCTCCCTCTCCATCACTCCCGTCAGCTCACACGTCTGTTGTTTTTGTCCTGGACCCACACCCACTGCTGCCCTCAGCTGCTTCTCTGCACCCTCGTCTTGGTCAGATGCCACAGGAGCCCCTTTCCCCTGTAGCCGCAGTTCTCTTTTGTGGTTCTGAACCCACCTGCCCTTGGTGCCCCGCAGACGTGGGGCCACACCATGTCCGTCCCGTGGCTTCCTGCAATCAGCATTCAGCCTCCCGGTCTGTCCATGTTGGGACAGCTGTTTAAAAAAATTTTGGCGGGGGAGGGGGGCACCTGGGTGGCTCAGTCAGTTGAGCATCTGACTTCAGCTCAGGTCAGGGTCTCCCGGTTCGTGGGTTAGAGCCCCATGTCAGGCTCTGCGCTGACATTTCAGAGCCTGGAGCCTGCTTTAGATTCTGTGTCTCCCTCTCTCTCTGCTCTTCCCCTACTCATGCTCTGTCTCTGTCTCTCTCTCAAACATAAATAAACATTTAAAAATAAATGAACTGTTAAAAAAATTAAAGAAAACAATTTTTTTAATGTTTATTTGAGAGAGGGGGAGGGGGGAAGCACAGAATCCAAAGCAGGCTCCAGGCTCCAAGCTGTTGGCACAGGGCCCGACATGGGGCTTGAACTCACAAACCGTGAGATCACGACTCGAGCCGAAGTTGGTCGCTTAACCAGCTGAGCCACCAGGCGCCCCTAGGACAGTCACTTTTAAAACGGTACTGTGAGAAACATCTTTAATGCCTTTGGGGTTTATTTTGGTAGAGGACTTGAGGTAAAGACCTGTATGTTTTGTGCAAATGACTTGTTATTTTCTTACCACAGGTATTTAGTGATTAGTTTTTCCTAGTGACCTGAGAGCTCATTATACACTGAGTTTGTGTTTTGTGCATCTATCTGTGCATTTTCAGTTGTGCTTCTAGACTTCTCATCTGGTCCCAGTGGCGGCGCTGCCGTGAGTTAATTATCACACCTTGTACCGCATTTTGCTTTCTGGGGAGGCAGTCACCCCTCAGAAATGCTTGGCGTCTCACACACCTGAACAGGTGCCGTCCGTTTACCCCCTGACCCCGCTGCGGCATTTTGGTAGTCACACGAGGTGTGGCAGGGACCATTCTTGGTCAGCTACAGGAGGACTTGGAGGGTCAAGGACGTGGACGTTTTTAAGGCTCTTGAGAAGTCTCCCCAACGGTGCCTTTGGGAATCCTGTGAGCTTGTGCCTTCCCCCCTCCGACCTGTGGCTTTTCATCCCGAGTGTTTTCGGGGACCCGACGTGACGTCCTTAGCCAGTTTCTCTTGTGAGTGAGAAGCTGTCCTGTTGTGTCCCAGGGCTCCAAACGGATCCTGCGGTCCCACGAGATCGTGCTGCCCCCCAGTGGACAAGTGGAGACCGACCTGGCGCTGACCTTCTCCCTGCAGGTGGGCCTGTCCTCCCCTCGGGCTCAGCCAGAGCCTTAGAAGATGCGTGTGCTTTGTTAGATCGAGCTTTCCCTCCTGTTCCTGCCGTGAAGAGAACGTAGTGAGGCCTAGACTCACCCTCAAAAGGCCGTTTGGGGGGCCCCCGGCTGGATCAGTCGGTGGAGGTTGTGCGTTCGAGCCCCACGCTGGGTGTAGAGATTCCTTAGATGAAGAAAGAAAAACGTTTTAAAAAGACTATTTTGTTCCAGTGTTTAGAATAGGTGGGGGGAACATATGGACCCTCAGTGCTGCAAGTTCAGACCCCCGTGAAGTATGCTGGGTTTGGTGCGACCGCGGCACGGGGCCCCCCCCAGCGAGAACCAGAACCCCTGCCCTGGCGCCTCCCCCCCCACTGAGGGCCGGCCTGCACAGCTGCTCTCCTGCCTTCCTGTATCTCTGGGGGGTTGTTTTAAGGGGGTGCTGCTGTCCTGTTAACACACTCGCTTTAAAGATGAATACCGTGTGGGCGTCAGCTCACGTCCCGTTGAAAACCTTCTCTCCTGGTGAGTGTGTCGCAGAGGGCTGTGGTTGAGCGAGGCCGGCGAGAACCCCGCTGGCCCCTGCCTCCCGCCGGCCCCCCGGGCCTGCCTGGCTGTGCACGTGACCCTAATTCTGACGCCACCACAGGACCTTCTGGGTTATGTGTTGAGTTTTTTCGGGGGCCAGTTTTATCAGAGAGCTGTTCACCCTCGTAAGTGCATGGCTCTGCGGTCTGGACAGCCGCGTGCAGGGGTGTGGCCTCTGCTCCTCGCACGTGAGCCCTGTTGTTGCAGCCCCTGGCGTGCTCTGCACGGCAGCCTGGACCAACACCACTCACGGGCCCACGCCCTCTGCAGTCTGCACCGTGGGCAGCTGTGCTGGGTGGCCACCGCCCCGCTGATTGCCCAGAGACCCTGGCAGTCCGCTCACATCTGCCAGCGGCGGCTTTTACCGTGTCCCGGACTGAGGCCCACAGTGGCCCAGCGAGGAGTGGCGGCTGGCACATAGGGCAGCCGTGACTTCCCTTCTCTGCAGTACCCTCATTTCTTGAAAAGAGAAGGCAACAAGCTCCAGATTATGCTGCAGCGGAGAAAGCGGTACAAAAACCGGACCATCTTGGGCTACAAGACGCTGGCAGCGGGCTCCATCAACATGGCCGAGGTGAGCGCGTCCCCGCTCAGCCGGCTGCCCCCCGCCCCGTGCGCCCCGACCCGACGGCCTGTGTGGCTGGGCTCTGCTGTGACGGCTGCTCTTTGGCCGAGGGTAGATCCTGGCCCGGCGTGGGTCCGTCCTGCGGCCTCCCAGAAAGAGCGTCCCTGCGGGGGCCCCCACCCCAGCTGCTCCCTCTCGGGACAGCCCCGTTCCCTTCTGCCGGCACTGCCCGGGATGCTCTGGGTCAGGGGGTGACCTGAACGTCAGGAAGCTCCCTTGGAAACAAGCGCTGTTGGTCAGAATGGAACCCGACTGCCCGATGCCACCTTGTCCTGGGGGACCTGGCGTCCCAGGTGTGGCAGGTGTGGGGCTCAGGAGCCCGGGCCTCTGGGAGCTGTGGGGAGGGCCCTGGTGTCTCTTGTGCTGTGGGGCCTCCACCGTCATGGGGTGGCGGTCCGGGCTGTCCAGGCCACTTTGGTGCCCACACAGAGCTGTGCTGGTGCCCGCCTGGGGCAGGGCAGGGCAGGGCGCCACGTGTGAGTGGGTTGACCAGCCTGACCCCATGCCCCTCGGCCCTTCTCATCTGGCCCGGGACCCCCATGCGGGGCTCAGACAGTGGCGGTACTGGGTTGAGGGACGGGTGTGGGGTGCAGGCTTTCACCCAGGCTGGCGCACGGGGTGCGCAGAGGCGGTGCCCCTCTCCCTGGTCTACTGGAAATTTCTCCCGACCGGAATGGCTCTAAGGACTCACCGGCCAGGTGGGCCAGCCTGGCGGGCATTGGCTCTGCCGCACGAGACCCCCAGCCCACGCTGCTGGCCGGTCCTCCTTGGTCCTCCACAGACACAGGCCCCTGGACTTGGGTCTCCGGGGTTGGTGGCCCACAGCCACAGCCTCACACGCTGTTCGCTGCGGCCAAGCCCCTCCCCTCTCTGACAGCCTCCAGTCCCCAGTGGCAGAGCCTAGTGCCGACCC